CTAAAATATATATTTCGGCTAAATCATGAAAATTTGAGAACAGGATTTCGAACAACCCTCATCTAAAATTCGGAAAACGAAAAGAAAAAAATATCACAACAAATTAAAATTAATCAATCTCACCTATTGTCCTTTTCAGGAAATTGGAAGTGAACGTGCTCGGGTATGACGCCATCGTCGGAAGAAATCGCGTCAGCATAAGCAGAAGAATACTCGCCGCACTGGAGTTTGGTGTGCCGTTTGGGAGCGGCACCGTCGAAATAGCGACGGGCAGCGGCCTCCGCCATCTCCGCCTCATCCCGGCTCAGGTGAACGTCGCTCCGGCTCGGTCTAGTGTACTCCATTTTCTCTCTCTTTCGAGTTTCGACTGGTTTGATCCCTCACGCCATAATGGAACGAGCTGGTATTTATTTTCGGGTCCAACTAAATAGATTTTTTTTTTCTTGCCTGCTAGAATTGTCGAATTGGTCCTCCATTTTACTGAATATTCGAATGTCATCTTACGAGTCTTTTCAGCGCGCTTTTAGCTTTTACATTGATTTATTTCATTCGAATTTAGCTCATACTTCCTTGAAAACGTCCCTTAGGAGTTAGGATTGAGATGGGTGACATGAGCAAGAAAAGGTCTTTTTTATTTCACTGAACATTATGAATAGCTTTGAATTTTAGCAATGTCATTGTTAAATTTTGATTAATTTTGTTCCACGTCGAAATGTGTATGAAAGATGTGTATGATATTTTTAGTATAAATGGATCCCTTGATTTTGGGTTACAGTTGCAATTTAACAATTATTGATTTTATAAGTGATGTGACATGTAAAGTAATAGGATTGTGATATATATTATTATGTCGAACTTTATGTCATCTCTTTATGTTACTGTAACATGATCTTTTAAAAATAGAACCGGACGATTATTAAATTGAGTTCATCTCTAATTTATTGGGCGAACATTTGGACCATAAAGTCTAAATACAAACATCTAGTTAGCTGATAGTGAATGAGTAATAGCTGATTGTATTAATGACTAATTTTTGTATTATACTGTTAATTGATTTGACTAGCAAATTTAATTAACGGTTTGTCACATGTAATAGTTAAAAAAAATTTATAGTTGTTATATTATATTATTTTTGTTAATTCATGTCATCCCAAAACGTTGTTATTTTTTAAATTTTCATAAATAGCATGTTTTATAAAAAAAAATAATAATTAAATTAACTCGTTACCAAAGAAAATAGTTAAAAGATTTAATTGGTCAAACATCTAAACTAGGTTCAATCCACCATTAGCGCTAACCCATTAGTAAACAAACGAGTCCAAAACCAAGTATGGACGATATCCACTAGAAAGATGAGCTTTTTTATTACATGTGTATAGTACATAGTAGTGATTGGAATTGTAAAAAAATTACATTTTTTTCGATAGTAATTTAAATTCGTATTTGTTAACAATCATAGTCGAATAAGAATAATTTTTAGTTTTCAAAATTTATACAAATTTGACTTCAAATTTTCAATGTTCATTTCGAAATTATTGAATATTGAATTCATAAAAAATAATTATATCAAATTTAATATATTATATAGAATATAAAATTTTATTTATATAAGATATATTAAATATAAATATAAAATAATAAGATAGATTTATATTTGACAATAATATTAAATATAATTAAAACACATGTCTATATATATATTTATCTTGAAAAAAATATATTGTATTTGAAAACTATATTTTGAAAAATATATTTTGAAGAATAAGTAATTCTAAAATGAATTTTGAATTGAATCGAATACGAATCATAGTTAAATTCGATAACAAGTTGAATACAAATACAAATAAGCGAATGTTTCAATAATCCGAATCAAATAGTTAAGTATTCATCTAAATTCGATTTATTTACAGCTCTATAGGTAATGACAAAATATACTAGAAAGCATAAGTCCTCACATTAACCAACATGAGTTAGCCTCTAATACCCAACATGAGATTCTTTATAACATAAACTAGTCATTTGAACAAAAATCTACTTGTTAAATAAATAACAAAAACTTCTTGATAAAAAAAAAAATTATAATCTCACATAGTTTTGCTACAAAACTATCCGATAACCCATTTTATTATAAAATTGTCAATTATTATCACAAATGATAAATAAAATTAATATGTTTACTAAAATAAATATATTCAGGTACATACTCCATATAATTTTTGCAATTTCACATCTCAATTTGTTAAATTATTCACAAACTCTACTGATATATTTGAAATAAAAGTAAGAAACTCTCAATTCCAAACTTATCCTCACCACTCACGAATCACAATGGCCCAATTCCCTTCTTATCTTCTCCTCCTCACCACCGGCGCTCTGCTAATTTTTCCGGCGACCTCCCAAACCTGCAGATCTCAGACGTTCAACCAAACAAACATCCGGTTCGCGAACTGTACGGACCTCCCCACCCTTCGGGCTCAACTCCACTGGACTTACGACCCGTCGGCCCGGCCCGATCCGACACTGGACGTCGCCTTCGTCGCCCCCCCGGCGGGCCCCGACGGCTGGATCGCCTGGGCACTCAACCCAACGGCAACCGGAATGGTCGGCGCACAGGCCCTGGCGGCGTTCAGGGGCGGCGCCGACGGGTCCGTGGTGGTGCGGACGTACAACATCTCGTCGAAGGGCCCGATAGCCGAGTCGCCGATAGTGTACGGCGTCCTACGCCGGAGAGGGGAGTACTCTGGCGGCGAGATGAGGATATTCGCCACGCTGGCGCTGCCGGCGGCGCACGCGGCGGGGCTGAACCAGGTGTGGCAGGTGGGGGCGGCGGTGAGGAACGGCGTGCCGGCAAGGCACGAGTTCTCGCCTGATAATCTGGGCTCGAGGGGGATTCTAAGGCTGGGGGGCACGGCAGCGGAAGAGCCG